CAGCAATGGGATATTCATCACAAAGAGCTAATGACCGATTGGGGAAAAACAGCGATAATACTGATACTGATATACTGACCTGTGGTCCTCACCGTTTGCTCTGTATGTTTAGTTTTGATAATGAATTGGAAGGACCACAAGTCCCAGGGACTTTAGGCTACATCATATGACTTGGAGCATAGGTCCAGTAGTTCAGTATGTCAGCAACAAGCTCTGGGGAGCTTTCCTCAAGATGCTAAGATCAGGATCGGATTCCTGATTATTATCCTGATCTATTATTTAGGAGAAACCAAATCACCCTAATCAGCATTTAGGAGAAACCAAATCACGCTAATCAGCCTAATATTAATACTATGTGATACTTTTCAGTGGAATTACTTATTCCTTGTAACAAGGGCCGGGAGTTTGTCTCTGACCATGTGAACTGACTGGGCCGTAGTTAGGCCTATCGCCAATACATTTTTCCTCGTCAGGTCATATGGTCAGGAAAGTCTCCTCTTAGCCCTACTCATAACATTTGGTCCACACTTCTATTCTACTACACACTTCTATTCTATTCTACTATGATGTGAAGGATCTCTGACCGAGACAATGACTTCTAAGCCCTCTTTAGTTATAGTCCCATTGTCCTCCTCTCTATCCATCCAGCAGAACATCTGCCCCCTCTGTCTCTATGTGTGCCCCCTCCACTCCTCTATTGGGACAACTGGTTTACCCCCTCTCCCTCTCCACATGTGTGCTGTGGTGGGACTATTATTTCTGGAGGAACAGTGGGAGACTATGCTACTTCCGGATGTTAATATGTTTTCTGTCTGCATTATATTATTACTGGTGGTATACCATAGAGAGACCCCCAAATAACTTGCGACATGATCTTAAACCATTTCCCATGTGAAGAATAGTTTTATATAGGCTAGATTATGACTCTAAAGTGTATACGATGTGTTTGAAAGCATGGTGTTTTGTAGACTCTCCCATTTATGACATTTCTGTGATTATGCGATAATACAGTGCCTTGCAAAAGTATTCACTCCCCTTGGCGTTTTTCCTATTTTGTTGCATTACAACCTGTAATTTAAATTGATTTTTATTTGAATTTCATGTAATGGACATACACAAAAACTCCAAATTGGTGAGGTGAAATGTTTCAATAAATTCAAAAAAATTAATAACGGAAAAGTGGTGCTATGAAGCCCCTAAATAAGATCTGGTGCAACCAGTTACCTTCAGAAGTCGCATAATTAGTTAAATAAAGTCCACATGTGTGCAATCTAAGTGTCACATGATCTATCACATGATCTCAGTATATATACACCTGTTCTGAAAGTCCCCAGAGTCTGAAACACCACTAAGCAAGGGGCACCACCAAGAATGCGGCACCATGAAGACCAAGGAGCTCTCCAAACAGGTCAGGGACAAAGTTGTGGAGAAGTACAGATCAGGGTTGAGTTATAAAAAATATCCAAAACTTTGAACATCCCACGGAGCACCATTAAATCCATTATAAAAAATTTGAAAGAATATGGCACCACAACAAACCTGCCAAGAGGGGGCCACCCACCAAAACTCACGGACCAGGCAAGGAGGGCATTAATCAGAGCGGCAACAAAGAGACCAAAGATAACCCTGAAGGAGCTGCAAAGCTCCACAGCAGAGATTGGAGTCTCTGTCCATAGGACCACTTTAAGCCGTACACTCCACAGAGCTGGGCTTTACAGAAGAGTGGCCAGAAGAAAGCCATTGCTTAAAGAAAAAAATAGGCAAAAACTGTTTGGTGTTCGCCAAAAGGCATGTGGGAGACTCCCCAAACGAAGAAGGTACTCTGGTCAGATGAGACTAAAATTGAGCTTTTTGGCCATCAAGGAAAACGTTATGTCTGGCGCAAACCCAACACCTCTCATCACCCTGAGAACTCCATCCCCACAGTGAAGCATGGTGGTGGCAGCATCATGCTGTGGGGATGTTTTTCATCGGCAGGGACTGGGAAACTGGTCATAATTGAAAGAATGATGGATGGCGCTAAATACAGGGAAATCCTTGAGGGAAACCTGTTTTCAGTCTTCCAGAGATTTGAGACTGGGACGGAGGTTCACTGTCCAGCAGGACAATGTCCCTAAGCATACTGCTAAAGCAACACTCGAGTGGTTTAAGGGGAAACATTTAAATGTCTTGGAATGGCCTAGTGAAAGCCCAGACCTCATTCCAATTGAGAATCTGTGGTATGACTTAAAGATTGCTGTACATCAGCGGAACCCATCCAACTTGAAGGAGCTGGAGCAGTTTTACCTTGAAGAATGGGCAAAAATCCCAGTGGCTAGATGTGCCATGCTTATAGAGACATACCCCAAGAGACTTGCAGCTGTAATTGGGGGTGAATAGTTATGCATGCTCAAGTTTTCTGTTTTTTTGTCTTATTTCTTGTTTGTTTCACAATAATCAATATTTAGCATCTTCAAAGTGGTAGGCATGTTGTGTAAATCAAATGATACATACCCCCCCGAAAATCCATTTTAATTCCAGGTTGTAAGGCAACAAAATAGGAAAAATGCCAAGGGGGGTGAATACTTTCGCAAGCCACTTTAAGCTGAGTATATGTAGGCCTATCTTTAGCACTTGATTGGTATGTGTGTGTGTGTGCATGCATGTTTCCTTAAGATTTGGAGACTCATAGAGACATGTAGGTCCATTACTCTTGCACACTTGGACAACTACTTAACATTCCCTTATTTCAGCTGACCTGTTCAACCATGAACACTGACCCCTCCCCTCTCTCTTTCTAATGGCCTATTGATTTCCTCTTCCCACTGGGCACAGACGTCAATTCAACATCTATTCAATCAGTGTGTGCCCAGTGGGTTTTGATTCTGACATGGGAATGTATTGAGAACGCTGACCTGTAACGAAGTTTTGGAGTGCCTACAACATATGGATTGTAACTTATTGTGAGGTTTGACACAGACCAGTCCTAGCCTGTAATGATCAGAAGTATTGCTCTACTACAGTCTTCCACCAGCAAACAGCAAACCATCAACCTTGGGTTAGGTGCCAATAAATGAATCGGAATCGGAATCTAAAAAGCTTTTAGAAGAGGTTTCTCTAGATCTGGCTACCTTATTTGCGCTCCCTCTTTTGGAGGATTGATGATTTCAATATCTTTCCTTTTATCCTCTTTCACTCCCTTCAAAAAGAGAGGGCACCATGTCAAACGTTTCATCAGAAGTTGTTGTCTTTCTTCTTCCAAGGCCTGTCATGGTGAATCATCCTATGTTGGAGCTTACAGGACCATTATTTTACACGTCTTGTCTCTGGGAGATGAATTGTGGCTCTTTGGTGTTCTGTTCTGAACAGAGATTAAACAGAAGCAACAACAGCAGTTTCTCTGGAGAGATGAGATGTCAATGGAATGTGTTTGTTAGTGTATGAAAATGAGAGGGGAAGAGAGAGATAGAAAGAGAGAGAGGGGAGAAGTGTGAGGGAGGTAGGGAGAGCTTTCTAATATACTTGGCAGAAGTCAATGATTTTCAGACATTATCTAAGTGTTGTTGACCCATTACCTTCAGGGGCCAGCATAATGGGGGCCTTGTTACCCTCTACCGCCCTCTGTGGTTGAAAATGAAAAGTGCAGAAACTAGCCAGGTTATTACCTAGGGGGCTTTATGCACAATCATTGCATTATTTTTCAGTGCCAACAGAAGTGATATTTTACAGTTCATTCTATGTTAGATTACAGGAAGGGGTTAAGGAGAGGGGGGAAGGGGAAGGAGGAGGAGGAGGAGGAAGAGAAGAAGAAGAGAGATAGAGGAGGAACAAGAAGAATAGTGGTTTGGGATGCAGCCAGAAAGTCCATTCTCATACACAGCCAGTCTAGTGGTGGATAGCTAATGTATGTTATGGAAGCTGGCTGCTGTCCACACTCTGTCTGATATAAAAGGCAGAACAGCCTGGATAATACCAGGAGTGATACAGTATTGTAGCAGAGAGGAGAGAGAGAGAGAGAGAGAAGAGAGAGGAGAGAGAGAGAGAGAAGAGAGAGAGAGAGACGAGAGAAGAAGAGAGAGAGAAGATAGAGAGAGAGTAGTAGAGAGCGGAGAGATAGAGATAGAGTATAGAGAAGAGCTATAGATGAGAGCAGGAGAGAGAGAGAGAGAGAGCGATATAGAGACGTCGCTGCGTCGCTCTCCTCTCTCATCTCTGCTCTCCTCTCTCTCTCGCTCTCTCTCCTCTCTATCTCCTCTCTCTCTCTCTCTCTTCTCTTCGCTCTTCCTCTCTCGCTTCTCTACTCTCTTCTCTCTCGAGCTCTATTCATCTCTCTCCTATATCACCAGCTTCCCTCTCCAGAAGTAGCCCATAGGTCAGAGCACTCAGTGGCCAGATCATGTATGTTTTAATAGCAGCCCTGGAGAGATGACCAAACCAGGCTATGGGATTAAATATCAAATCAGATTGCATTCCCCTGCACGCTAATGCTTGTCAAGAGGCATGACTGCACTTAGGCCTACCTACACAGAGCCATATAGTAGTATAGAGATATATAGGTAAGTATAGGCCTATGTTTTATATATGGCTATAGGCCTACACAAACCTAGTTCAGATAGTAGCCATGGTGTTGGTGTTTATTTTGGAATAGGGAGATTTTGATGAGAGAGATAGATAATATAGAGACTGTCTGTGTGTCATCAGTATGGATAAAGACCCAAGTGATCTGATCTGAGCTCTATTACTATGTGCCATTAGTTGAGATTCACAAGTACTGCAGTGCATAAAAAATGCTTTGCTAAGCTACTTTACCACAAACATCTTTGTGTGTTTTTGTAACTGTAGCATTAGCCTCCTTAGTACCTCGTTTGTTGTTCATTTCAAGCCTTCTCACATCTCACTGAGGAATGGGGTGATATAGCCTACGGTACGGTATATTGATTTGTCTAAATATACTTAAATGGGCCGATCCGATGTACAGTAGAACAGTGGATCGGATAAGGCCTGAAACAACAAGTGTAGAAATGGCTATGCCTGTCCCAGATTGCTGTGGAAACGAGGTCAGAGGTTACAGCTGATACAGAAGTGGGGCAGGAGCAGCGGGCCATGGGAAAAGAGGGGGTGAGAGGAAAGAATGAGAGGAGGGGAGGGATGAGAGGATGGGATGATAGGAGGGGGTGAGAGGACAGAAAGGGACTGTGTCCCATAGTCAGGATGTTTTCCTCTGAATGAAACAATGGGACACCATGAGGTGTTTTGAACATGAAGGCAGATGCTGATATGGAATTTATATAGATTTCGGATTCAGAAATAGATTGAAACAATGAAGCTGGAGTGTTTAATGAAGCCGAGTTTCTGGTGAGCGAGACTACAAATGCTGTGACTGTTTGCCCCCTCCCTCTTCTGGATTGTCTAAATACGTTGTTTCGATGTGTCAAGGCAATAGAGAATTGCAATGATGGCTTTCTGTATTATTGGTGTGCACCTTTGACACATATTCCTATACTCTCTGTAGTTTTCCTTGATATTTTGTTCTGATATGCAGTATTATTAATAATTTATTAGCACTTTTTCCGCCTGTGGGAATCGCCTGGCCAAGGTCTTTTCCTTTTTAGTGGAAAGTCATTCGCCCCACCCCCTTTCTTCTCTCTGTCCTCTTTCTGAGGTCTCTCTCTTTCTCTCGTGTCTTTCTGACCTCTCTCTTGTACTGTATAAATTATCTTCTTAGTCATGTATTCAGAAAACATTTGTCACATTGTGACACATCTTTTCCAAGAAGTGTCCCCCACAGTCCTGCCTTGTGTTGTCCAGGTAATGAATGAGGGGTTGTTGGTCATCTCTGCATTATCTTTCATCAAAGTGGCCCCTCTCTCTTTCTCCAATCCAGTCCCCTCCCTCTAAATCCCTCCTCTTCTTTCCTCTCCACCTCTTTTACGCCCCTCTATCTTTTTTCCTCTCTGAATCATTCCTCCTCTGACGTCCCACTGAGTTCACCTCACGCCTGACAGAGCATTTAGCTCGCATGCTCCGAGGCTACGGCTGGCCGCAGATGCAGAGTGTGTGTAGGAGTGTGTGTATGTGTGTCTCAGTACTGCATCCCTCTCTCCTTCTCCGGGACCCTCGTTCTCTCAGACAAACTAGATCAGATTTTGGTCTCCTTGGTGGAAATAGGGTCAAGGAATACTGCGCTTGACCCCTCGAATGGTCACTGGACATCCTTGGTAACCCTTTCTATGTATTTTCACTGGGCTGGATACCCTCAGTATTTTCTGGAGAATGATACCCTTTCCAACCTAACCACAGTGAAGCTTGACTGGCTGTTCCACTCTGGGCAGGGGAGAGTTAGACCTTGGTTGGATTTTGACGTTGGACAAGGGTGGATCTTTCCCCCCCTGCGACTATAGGATACCATGCTGCCTCAACTAAGAAGGGTAATGTGACTTAGCCTACGTATTTTGGGTCAAATAATACATTGGGAAGATCTGCATTCGATCCCAGAGGGAAGAACTTGAAACGCTTATTTCCAAAGTGGTCCTTCTACTTTTGTGGAGGAATGCGTGTGTGAGTGAGGGGGATGTTTGTGCGTGTTAGTGAAGGGTGTGTTTGGGCGCAGTGGGGTGTGGAGGAGTTCTGTATTATAGCACCTTTTTATTTGGAGAAACCTCTTTATGTGTTTGTATGGTGAGATCCTGTTGAGTGGCTTCTATCCAGTGTTCTAATGAACCAAACTCTGTGAGGAGATCTGCCGAATCTAATTGGCACAGAGGCTGGCAACGAGTGGCGAGCACTTCCTCAGGGATGAAGGGATGAAGAAGAGAGCAGAGAGAGTGGGAGAGAGAGAAAGAGGAGAGCATGCTGCAGAGAGAGAGAGTGCCAGAGAGGGGGGGGGGGGGGGGAGTGAGGGAGAAAAACAAAGAAAGAAAAAATATGATATAAGAGGAAGATACAGCTGTTATTTCAATAGAATAGCCAATTGTTTTACATCTCTCTTCACATGAGTGGGTTTGTGAATTAATCGTTGTTTCTACTGAGGGATGTTGGTGTGGAAACCCCCTTCAACCGAATACATATATGCTGCTGTTGTCCTTGTTCGCCCCAGATAGGGATCATAGTATGTTTTATGATACATACTGTACATGCAGTAGCTATCTACCCTACATTCACAGGTTTTTTTATGCTGTTATTCATTCCCTTCCATTGATATCATGTAGCCTACCTATGTAAAAACATGTTTGGCCTCATGCTGCCTATAACAATGGGAGCTAGTGCTGAGCAATTAACCAAAATGTTGGTAATTTTTTGTTTTTTTAAACAACTAATTGACCAACAGCAGTTAAATTAGAATTCCATTTCGTTTGTTTTTTTCTGGGCTCAGTGCGCACATTGTGCAGTTTCTTTAAAGAGATATCAGATCAAGCCCGCACTGTGCGATGTAGTAGGGAGTTGTAGTTTCCAACAGGCAAATATTCTACAGCGTGCGCATGTTGATTATTTACTCCCACACCAGACACGATCAGGACACGCAGGTTGAAATATCAAAACAAACTCTGAACCAACTATATTAACTTGGGTACAGGTCGAAAAGCATTAAACATTCATGGCAATGTAGCTAGCTAGCTTGGTGTTGCTAGCTAATTTGTCCTGGGATATGAACATTGGGTTGTTATTTTACCTGAAATGCACAAGGTCGAGCAGTGTGGGTGCAATGATTGAATAACACGTATGTGTATATATGTACATTTATTTTGCAACGCTCACACACGCGACGTGTCCGGTCTGGTCAGCATGTTAGTGATTGATAGTTGGTATTCAGCAGTCTTAAAAGTATGCCTTATTTACTTTGAAGAACTACTAAAATAGTGATTTTGTCAGACAGCATAGGCAGCAGCTCTACAGAGATGAGATGAGATGACTTGAAATGAAATAATAAAGTCATCAAATATAATTTTTTTAATATACACTTCAACTGAAATATTTTATTAAAGCAAAGTAATGTGAATAAATGATGTTTAATAAGTGATAAGCAGTAATGGGAAGTCACTACCATCATCAGACATTTATTAAATGTTTTATTCTGTTTTGTTACAGCATTCAACCCACATAATGCATAGTGTTTAAAAAAATTCTCGAAACTGAAATCGATCGAAAAAAACACTTTATTATTTCTTAATAATCTAACCGAAACCGAACCGACCTCAAAAAGTCCTAATCGCTCAGCACTAATGGTAGCCTACAGAAAAAAATTAACTGTCCCCCAAAAAGCCCAAAATGTTTACATCAAACGCATATGCTAAACTGTAGATGCCACATCCACTTCCTGTGTCTATGAGCTAGCTGGCTGTAGCAGGCTGGCTTTGTAAAACGACGGATTAAAGCAGCACAAAAGACAACCCACTAAGAACCCTGTCATGCTGACTGGGACAGTAGCTCAGTCGACAGTTGGGGAATATACTGCACGGAGGGCTTCAGCTTTGGTTGGGTTGAGGAGGAGAGACATTTTGTTTGGGTGAGGTGGACTTCAGATGATGGAGGAGAGGATGGGGGACTGTTGGAGCTATACCAAGGTGAATTTGTTCATTTGTTACTGTGAATACTGTAAATGGATGGTAGCTATATAGAATCACGATTGCAAGCTGTCCTGTGGTGGACTGGAGTGTGTTATCCTCTACTACAGTAGGGATGTTTTTTGTAAGCTACACAAAAAAATAACAAATAATTCTAAATAGTACCAGTGCCAGTTCTTTGGCTTGTAACCATTGTAGAACCCTTTTTTGAAGGTTCAACAAAGAACCATCCTCATAAGGTTTTAAATGGAACCTGTATGGTGCTATAATGAACCCTTTCCTAAGGTTCTATAAAGCACCATTAAAAAAGATTCTATATAGCACCAAAAAAGGGTTCCGCTATGGGTACAACCCTTTTTGGGGCTATATAGAACCCTTTTTTAGGGTTCTTTATAGAACCTTTGTGGAGAACCTTTGGAAATCCTTTTGAAAATCCCGGATCTGCCATATTATATTGTTAAAATTCCATAGGTGTTGGGCCTCCCGAGTGGTGCAGCGGTGCTTGAGGCGTCACTACTACAGACCCGGGTTCGATCCCAGGCTGTGTCACAACCGGCTGTGATCGGGAGTCCCATAGGGCGGCGCACAATTGGCCGAGCGTCGTCCGGGTTAGGGGAGGGTTTGGCCGGGGGGGGGGGGCTTTACCTGGCACATCGCACTCTAGCGACTCCTTGTGGTGGGTGGGATGACTGCAGGCTGACTTTGGTCTTCAGTTGAACAGTGTTCCCGCCGACGCGGTCGGGTGTTAAGAAGCGCGGTTTGGCGGGTCATGTTTCGGAGGACGCATGACTCGACCTTCGCCCGTTGGGGAGTTGCAGTGATGAGACAAGATTGAAATTGGGGGTAAAATACAAACCAAAGATATATATATATTTATATATATATACAGTGAGGAAAAAAAGTATTTGATCCCCTGCTGATTTTGTACATTTGCCCACTGACAAAGAAATGATCAGTCTATAATTTTAATGGTAGGTTTATTTGAACAGTGAGAGACAGAATAACAACAACAAAATCCAGAAAAACGCATGTCAAAAATGTTATAAATTGATTTGCATTTTAATGAGGGAAATAAGTATTTGACCACTCTGCAAAACATGACTTAATACTTGGTGGCAAAACCCTTGTTGGCAATCACAGAGGTCAGACGTTTCTTGTAGTTGGCCACCAGGTTTGCACACATTTCAGGAGGGATTTTGTCCCACTCCTCTTTGCAGATCTTCTCCAAGTCATTAAGGTTTCGAGGCTGACGTTTGGCAACTCGAACCTTCAGCTCCCTCCACAGCTTTTCTATGGGATTAAGCTCTGGAGACTGGCTAGGCCACTCCAGGACCTTAATGTGATTCTTCTTGAGCCACTCCTTTGTTGCCTTGGCCGTGTGTTTTGGGTCATTGTCATTCTAGAATACCCATCCACGACCCATTTTCAATGCCCTGGCTGAGGGAAGGAGGTTCTCACCCAAGATTTGACGGTACATGGCCCTGTCCATCGTCCCTTTGATGCGGGGAAGTTGTCCTGTCCCCTTAGCAGAAAAACATTCCCAAAGTATAATGTTTCCACCTCCATGTTTGACGGTAGGGATGGTGTTCTTGGGGTCATAGGCAGCATTCCTACTCCTCCAAACACGGCGAGTTTTGGTCTCATCTGACCACAACACTTTCACCCAGTTCTCCTTTGAATCATTCAGATGTTCATTGGCAAACTTCAGACGGGAATGTATATGTGCTTTCTTGAACAGGGGATCCTTGCGGGCGCTGCAGGATTTCAGTCCTTCACGGCGTAGTGTGTTACCAATTATTTTCTTGGTGACTATGGTCCCAGCTGCCTTGAGATCATTGACAAGATCCTCCCGTGTAGTTCTGGGCTGATTCCTCACCGTTCTCATGATCATTGCAACTCCACGAGGTGAGATCTTGCATGGAGCCCCAGGCTGAGGGAGATTGACAGTTATTTTGTGTTTCTTCCATTTGCGAATAATCGCACCAACTGTTGTCACCTTCTCACCAAGCTGCTTTGCGATGGTCTTGTAGCCTATTCCAGCCTTGTGTAGGTCTACAATCTTGTCCCTGACATCCTTGGAGAGCTCTTTGGTCTTGGCAATGGTGGAGAGTTTGGAATCTGATTGATTTATTGCTTCTGTGGACAGGTGTCTTTTATACAGGGAACAAGCTGAGATTAGGAGCACTCCCTTTAACAGTGTGCTCCTAATCTCAGCTCGTTACCTGTATAAAAGACACCTGGAAGCCAGAAATCTTTCTGATTGAGAGGGGGTCAAATACTTATTTCCCTCATTAAAATGCTAATCAATTTATAACATTTCTGACATGCGTTCTTCTGGATTTTATTGTTGTTATTCTGTCTCTCACTGTTCAAATAAACCTACCATTAAAATTATAGACTGATCATTTCTTTGTCAGTGGGCAAACGTAATCAGCAGGGGATCAAATACTTTTTTCCCTCACTGTATAATCATTTCACAGGTTTTATTATTGTGTTAATTGACAAGTTTAATCCAGTGAGCTACCTCTGGAACAGCTGGGGGCCCATGATGAAAAAAATGAGAACCACTGACTGATTTAGTCCACCGTTCTCAACTGACACAAGGCCATACGTGAGTCTTTCACAAGACGCCATTGTAATGGCATAACACAACACATTAGATCAACTGGAATGTCACTCTTACTCACGGTTACACAAAAATAACTATGAGCAAACCACGGCCCAAAATATATTCGAATGAGCTGCCTCCCCCACATTTTAATTATCACAAAAAGAGCAAATAATAATTGAGTGAACTGCAAAGAACCATTGAAGAGCTCAAATGGTTATTTGAGTCATTATGGTTCCACATAGAACCATCACCCTTCCAAAGAACCCTTGAGGAACCCTCATTTTTGTGTGTGTATGTTCCTCTTGTATAGGGGCTACCCTGTTTGTAAAGTATTTATATTTATCCTGCCACGTGGTGATTTTAGCTGATTTAGCTTTAATAACATTATGCAGCATCATCAAGTTTTTCTGTATTCTACACATGCTTAGGCTATATGACAGAGGAGAGACGATGCAGGAAAAGGATTCATGTGACTATCATGCACCTCATGCTTCCTGTTCGACTGCACAGTTCAGATGAGTACAAGTACGGTTAGGCTGAATAACTGTATTAATCTATGAATAATTTACAAGGCCATTGTGGGTTAGGGTACTCTACGTAGCCTACAGTGAAAGTCTTTACTTGGAAGTGAAGAGGAGGCTGAATGGGTTTTTGTAAATGGTGGGGTCAAGGAGTTCATAAGTGGAGGTGTTTCTGCTTGTAACAACTACGGTACACAATACTACAGGGCGCCAGTATCTCATTTAAGAGACTAGGAGGACATGGATGTCATACTCACACTATTAGCTGTTTAGAAGAAACCCCCAAACCTCACAATGGTGTCCAATACATTAATTACACCTATCAGACAGGCTATAAAGTAAGTCAAGCGTTTTGTCTGATTGGTGGCTTTGGCTGGTAAAAACAGTCTCTTTGGAATCGGTACAGCTAGCTCCATGAAGTACCAGGCCCATAAGACTTTTACTAACAAACAAACAACACTAAGTTAGAAAGGCTAGCTAGTCCCACTGTTAAATTAAATGACCTCAACTCTTTCTGTTTTACCCTATTACCTTATTAGAAGGCAGGTGTGTCAAATAGACTTGGATAATACGTTAAGTGGCAGCAGCAACTCGACAGAGTAGACCTAATTGTTGACTGTAAAACCCTTGGCCTTTGGGAAGGGAAAATTAGCACAAACAGTGCTGCTGTGAGTAATTTGTGTAGGCAATGTACAGCCATTATAATGGATATCTGGAACTGTTAAACCTGTTGACATTTCAAAGCTGTTGTCATGTTGTCAACACCCATGGAAAAGGTCATGTAGCCAACTTTTTGTCCTTGCAACTACTGTAGTGAGGTTTGTGTCACAGCAGGATGACTGCCCTAAACAAATCTCAGAATGCTGCATCAAAAACGTTAGAACTGTATTGGGATGTTATATTCATTCTTGCATCATTCTCTCTCTCTGTTTGCAGGATCAGTTTGATAACCTGGAGAAGCATACACAGTCCGGCATTGAGTTTGTGGAGAGGTACACCAAATTCGTCAAAGAGCGATCGGAGATTGAAATCAACTATGCAAAGCAGATTAGGTGAGTTCTGTTTCTTTATTGCCCTGTAATGAGCTAAGTCTAGGCTTCTGTCTAGATATTTCACGAGTGAATGAAATGGATAGTACTCTTCAGTCATTTAATCATTTCGGTCTCAGCCTTCTTCAGAGTACAGAGTATAACATAGTTATAACATATAAGATATTTCACTGCCATTAAAAACAAGCATGTCATGTTTCCACACAGGCAAGGTCACTGACAGTTTCACAGTTTGACAGTGTTCATCTCATTCAGCCTGCAGCGAGCACATCACTACTGTGTTGGTTTTAGTGAGGTCCTATCAGAGAGCCTGGCAGATTGAGCGATGTTAGCTTTAGCCAGGTGGAGGGCTAAATAAACAGAATGATGATGCCTGGAGCAGAAGTCTGTCTCTCTTCCTTTCCATCCCTCTCTCTCCATCTGTCTGTTTCTCTCTCTGTCTCGCTTTCTCTCTTTTTCTCGATGCGTCTCTCTCTCATTTCTCTCTCTCTCTCTCTCGCTCTCTCTCTGGCACAACAGTGTTTTTCTCTCACAGTTTTCCGCTGGAGGCGAGAGGAAGTAAGGTTGGCGGCAAGGTGGGGGGGCGGGTTGGGGGCACATGTTGCCATAGTAACGAGGGATCCTTATTATCATACCCAGCCAGCGCTGACCCACATTTCTTTTTTTCCAATTACGGTGGAGTGTCGGTCGTTTAGTCCCGCCCCCCTTTTAAACCCCCCAACCGCACTCTTCCTCCCCTCAAATTGCTCCAACCCACATTTTGGGATTTGGTTCGCCCTTCCAGATTTTGGAAGGCACAGTGATGGTTCGTGACAAGAACCCCAGGAATGGGGGTAGGGGTGAGGGGGTGAGGGAATACTCTTCCTAAGTCCTCTTACACCCCAACAACAAGCAGCAGGGATCTGTCCCCAAATCCCTTATCTTGTTCCCTAGAGAGGGCCCATAAGAGGGCTAAAGACTCTAAGTACTGACTACTGACCAACCCCCATCCAGCACCCTTCCTCTGCACCCCTAACCCCTAACCCCACCTCCTTCTCTTTCTAGATAAATCTTCCTTTACTAAAGAGATAATAGAACTAGTAGTTCCTCACTCTCTGTTTGCATGCCTGTCAAACACACACACGTATGTACGTACACACACACACACACACCACATGCCCTAATTAGTTTCCTTCTGTGTCTGACTTTGGTATCTGTGACACAGAGATAGTCTTTTATGGGGTGATTTCAGTGCCGTCCAGCATCACAACCGTATCGTGTGGACGAGCGGTTTGCTGATATCAAAGTTGAGAACTTGTGCCCCATGGTGGCAGTGGGGTTATGGTATGGGCAGACATAAGCTACGGACAACGAACACAATTGTATTTTATCAAAGGCAATTTGAATGCACGTAGATAACCGTTGCAAGATCCTGAGGCCCATTGTCGTGGCATTCATCCGCCGCCATCACCTCATGTTTCAGCATGATAATGCAGGGCCCCGTGTCGCAAGTATCTGTACACAATTCCTGGAAGCTGAAAATGTTCCAGTTCTTCAATGTCCTGCATACTCACCGGACATGTCACCCATTGAGCATGTTTGGGATGCTCTGGATTGACGTGTACGACAGAGTGTTCCAGTTCCCACCAATATCCAGCAACTTCGCACAGCCATTGAAGAGGAGTGGGACAACATTCCACAGGCCACAATCAACAGCCTGATCAACTCTATGGAAAGGAGACTGGTTTTCTGATCCATGCCTGTACCTTTTTTTTTAAAGGTATCTGTGACCAACAGATGGTCCAAACACACCAAACAGTGGTGAAGAGGGCACAACAACACCTTTTCCTCCTCAGGAGACTGAAAAGATTTGGCATGGGTCCCAGATCCTCAAAAGGTTCTACAGCTGCACCATCGAGAGCATCCTGACCGGTTGCATCACCGCCTGGTATGGCAACTGATTGGCATCCGACCGTAAGGCGCTACAGAGGGTACCACTTGACCCCCAAAATTGTCAAAGACTCCAGTCACCCAAGTCATAGACTGTTCACTCTGCTACTGCACGGCAAGTGGTACCGGAGCGCCAAATCTAGGTCAAAAGGCTCCTTAACAGCTTCTTAACCCCCAAGCTATAAGACTGCTGAACAATTAATCAAATGGCCACTCTGACTATTTACATTGACCCTTCCCCCCCTTTGTTTTTACACTGCTGCGACTCACTGTTTTTTATCTATGCAAAGTCACTTTACCCCTACCTACATGTACAAACTCGACTAACCTGTTCCCCCGCACATTGACTCGGTATTGGTACCCCCTGTATATAGCCTTGTTTTTGTCTCCTGAGTGGCGCAGTGGTCTAAGGCACTGCAGCGCAGTGCTAGCTGTGCCACTAGAGATCCTGGTTCGAATCCAGGCTCTGTAGCTGGCCGCGACCGGGAGACCCATGGGGCGGCACACAATTGGCCCAGTGTCTCCCAGGGTAGGGGAGGGAATGGCCGGCAGGGATGTAGCTCAGTTTGTAGAGCATGGCGTTTGCAACGCCAGGGTTGTGGGTTTGTTTCCCACGGGGGGCCAGTATGAAAAATAAAAAAAATAATGTATGCACTAACTGTAAGTCGCTCTGGATAAGAGCGTCTGCTAAATGACGTAAATGTTATTGTTATGTTATTTTATTGTGTTACTTTTTATTTTAATTTTTACTTTTGTTTATTTAGTAAATATTTTCTTAACTCTATTTCTTGAACTGCATTGTTGGTTAAGGGCTTGTAAGTAAGCATTTCACGGTAAGGTCTACACCTGTTGTATTCAGCGCATGTGACAAATACAATTTTGTTTAATTTTATTTGATCTGTATTCCCAGTCATGTGAAATCCATAGATTGGGGCCTAATGAATGTATTTCCTTATATGAACTGTAACTCTGTAAAATATTTGAAATTATTGCATGTTGTGTTTATTTTTTTGTTTAGCCCTTCTAAGGATAGCCTTTCCACTCCCTATTTAATATTGTTTTTGTGACTGACTGGGGGTGAACCTGGTCTCCTGCATGTCACAAGACTGAGTTAGCCCACTTAGTTAAAGCCTATAGGTTCAGGAAGTTCATGTAAAGGACGACACGCTGCTTGCTTAATGCTCACCGTTTCCCCCCTGATTTAGCTCATACCGAGACTCAAACTCAGGACCTCTGCCTCACAGATCTCCATCTGCTACATTCACCCCCTTAACTCACTCCACAGCGACCCCAGCGGTTGAACCAGCGCAACTGTAAATCCGAGTCCAGTGGCACCATTGTAATGGACGTCACGCTGCCTGCTTAGCGAGTACTGCTTCCCCCTGATTGAGCTCATATGGAGACTAGAACATAGAACTTCGAAAACACACGTGACCACCCTCCTGAAGCATTTCAACCCATCGTGCTATTAAAAAAGGCCTTCTTCAATTGCGCAAGGGGCAATACTTCAGGCTGAGGAATGAGTTTCACAGATCCCCATCTGCAACACTAATACAAGTCTTCAAGATCCAGCAAGGTGTCTTGTGTGGTTTGGTGATCCATGCTTATGTGATGAGAACCTTGCCTGAGACCTGAAGACGTGTTAGTTTGACATGTGTTAGTTTGTGTTAGACATAGTCTAGTTTCAAGCAGGGGCAGACTGGCTATCTGGCATTTGCCAGATGAGCCGGTCAATTTTAATTTTGTTTTTTTGCGTGAAATTATAATTATCTGGCTAATAATGGGGGCCGCAAGGAAAAGAATGGGCTGGTGTGGGGGCTCAAGGAAAATAATGGGCCGGTGTGTTTGAAATGCCAGGGCCGAGTTTTGGTCCCAGTCCCCTCCTGGTTTCAAGTCTCCAGCAAGAGTAATCATTATAAGATTAACTTTTGACTGACTGGGTTGAGACTGTGTTAGCCTGTTGAGCTAAAGCCTAGCCATTGGTCCTGTGACTTGGATGGATCTCTTCAAGTAGGTCAAAGGAGGGTGAAGTGTAACACAGGTGGTTCGGTGACCACACTCGTGTGTTAAGTAACTTGTCTGAGACCTGAAAAGTTGCATTTTCTAGTGCACAGGAGACCTGGGTTAGAACCCCATCAGTCAAACTAACACGTCTTCATGTCTCAGCCAAGGTTGCTCATTACATAGCCTAACGGGCAGTCTGATCCTGCGAGCTTACATGAATGGTTCGCTACGCGCAGTAATCAGTCTGGTAATTACGAGGTTACTCATCACATAGATGGATCACCAAACCACCTCTGTTGGACTCTCATTAAATGGGGTGCACAATTCATTCTGCTTCTGTTTGCCACAGAAAATGTTGTTGTTGTGCAGGAGGCCTGATTTCGAACCTAGTCAGTTATATTGGTGCCGTGATCTCTGAGTATGAGAAATGTAACTGAGACTTGAAGACTTGTGTTAGCTGCCTGAACTTTATCTAAGTGGGCTAACACAGTCTTGTGACATGCAGGAGACCTGGTTCGAACCCAGTCAGTTACAAGAGCAAGATTAAATAGGGAGTTGAAAGGCTATCCTTAGACGGGCTATGACAGGGTTATTTAACTATATATCGTGGCCTGTGATCATCATAGAGGGCAACAAAAAGCACATCCATGCTCCAGAGAGTCTTAGCTTTCAGGAATGGGGTCATCATAGCTTATAGCCAAAGCGGTTCAAACGCTAGAGCCAAATTCATATGAAGAAAATAAATTAAACATGCCACATTGGCTGCAGAAACTGGCAGAAGCTTCTGTTTACCCCAGAGAACGTTTGATTTCATCTGTGTTCTCCTCTACCTTTCCTGGCTGGTACCAGGATGTTGTCTCTGGAATTTAGAGAACTGAATTTGAAAACTAAATCTGAATGCATCTGATATGTATGAAACTTTGATTAACTTGAAATTATAGTTTGTAAAGTTGATACACAGACAATGAATGCAATAACTACCATATTCAAACTGAATATATAAATATTGAATTGTAGTTTTAAAACTGAATGCAATATTCATTCAATTCAGTTTCAAATCATGAAATACAAGTTCAATTTATTAACTCAATTTGTGCATTAAATATTGAAATTCAAATACAATTTCTGTTGCCACTGAAATCGCTCCATAGATGTATATTATTGAACCTGAGCCTCTGCATTTGTGGCGGTTGGATGTTTTAATTCACTCTGCTTACACAAACATATTTGTTTCCCACCCAGACGACCTACTGCTATCACAGAAAAATATTATTTACAAATTACAGAATGGATAGCTCTGTTTCTAAAGCGTCAACAAGGTTATTCTGTTTTTTTGACACAATGTAAATCTTTGAATGGGTTTTTTCTGTTTCTGGCTCTCCATCCAGACTAATTATTCTCCCACTAATCGTTAAAGCAGATTGAATCTACCTGGATCACTCAGTCCGATAGAACACACAGCCCTCCTAGATCTAATAAACGCTAATGAAATTGGCCCTTTGATCATCCGCCCCTCATCACACCTCTATGCTGGAGGAAGTAAGGTTTATTTATTTTTCTTCTCCTCCCTCTCTTTAACCTTTTTGAGGTTTTTCTCCCCACTGCTGTAATTCTACTGTAGCTTGACCTTGTCCGTGGCAATGAGAGTTCTGATAGATCTGTTCTATGGTCTCTGGGCTTGAACAGGGTGAAAGCTCTGTGCTGTGGATGAAATATCGTACAGATGGTTAGCACCTCTGCATCAGCTATTACCACTAACTGCTCAACAAGACAAAGACCTCACTCTGCTCTGCAGATAACATGGCACTACAATGCATCAAGAGACATTATCAAAAGAGAAATGGTAGAAAGTTAGACCAGATGCATACAGTGAGCAACAAAAGGATTGGGACAGTGACTCATTTTTTGTTGTTTTGGCTCTGTATTCTAGCACTTTGGTTTTGAAATGATACAATGACTATGAATGAATCGTGAATAATAATGAATAAGAAAGTTACAGATGCACAAATATCATACCCCCAAGACATGCTAACCTCTCACCATTACAATAACAGGGGAGGTTAGCATTTTTTTTTGGGGGGGGGGTATGATGTTTGTGCGGACAATCTGTGCATTAACCTTATAGTCACTGTATAATTTAAAATCCAAAGTGCTGGAGTACAGAGCAAAAACAACAACAAAATTGTCACAACTTTTGGAGGTCACTGTATTTAAAACCGTGCATGATATAGTGTGTAGACAGACAGCATGGCTGGCTGCACAATACACAGTGCACAGTACCATTAGGCCTACCATTTCACCAAACCAAACAGCATGTGCTGGTATAATCTAGGTTAAATCCGCCTCCACTGTATCAAATGGATAAACACGCACAATGTTTCAATATAGTACAGAAGGCTACAGAGCATTATGTTTCCTCCCCCAAGCACAGTAACACACATTGGCATAATCCACAGTACAGTAGACTACAGTAGGCTAAGGACTATCTGTGTGCATACTACTAAGAAGAATGGGGGTGTGGGTATTACAAACACACTGTCTATAGAAAATGGCACAGTATCACCCAATATGGGGCGCACACACACACACACACACACACACACACACTAATCCTCATTAAGTCCTATGGGCACCCCCTGTCTGTCTGTGTGTTGGTTAAATACGCTACGGAGGAGGAGGAGGAGGAGGAGGAAGAAAGGCAAATGCATTTTGATATGACATCTGGCCATGAGTGAGAGACAGCCAGGGTAAAAGCAAGAGAGAAAACAAGAAGAGAGGGGAAGAGGTAGATCTGCCTGGCAACAGAGCAGACACCAGGGAAGAGTAGTAGGGGGTTGTTGGGAGAGAAGAGAGAGAGAGGAGAGAGAGAAGAAGAGAGAGAGATCGAGTAGAGAGCCGAGAGAGAGAGCAAGAGAAGCGAGTATTACGATAGCGCGATATCTCTAGCTATTCTCGCTCTCTCTGCTCTCTCTCTCTCCACTCCTCTCAGTCTCTCACTCCTCCTTGCTCGTCTCTCTCTCCTCGCTCTCCTCTCTCTCGCATCTCTATCTAGTATAGAGAGGACGTGGCTGTAGTGTTTTTACCACATCCATGATTAGTTCATTCAATTTTAAAGACATCCCACGCATGGCATTTAAATGCTAGTACTGTCGAGGAGGAACACATAGGCCTATGTATGTCTCAATAGCTGAGTTAGGCCTACATAGTAGTCTTTACTATTGTCAATGGCCATTACAGTTGTTGTACCAGTATTATTAATACTGCCCCTATTATATTGGTGCAGTAGCTTAGTCGTTGAAGAGGCAGCAGTCATTTTGTATCTTTTCTTTTCTATTGACCATTATAGGCAGCCCCATTATAACTGATATTAAAAGGGCAGTCATGACCATGACGTTGCAGGGGTTCTATTGATATTCTACTGTTTCTATCGACCTTCTGACCTCTATTCCCAATGAGAGGGTTAATGGTCCAAACATAAGCATAGTAAACAACACACCATACATGAGTGAGATGACCTAGCTACAATATGCAGGGATCTACGCTCTTTATAAGGAGCACGTGTGCGCCTAAGTTGAAAAATGTAGGGGCACACAAATACATTTAGAAGCACAATGAAAAAATAGTTGAGGGAATAAAGCTAGAATCCTTAATTCTTCTAGGTGTACTGGTGCTCCTAAATTAACATTCCAGGTCACACAGCAAAATATTTAGGTGCATATGTGAGTAAAATGGTTGCATAGTAGAGCCCTGATATGACTCACCATTCGCTGCCTGGCTGCTGTGCAGCATGCCTCATTGCTTCCTGATTCGCTCTGCATCTGTCTGTTGAAGTCTAATTGGCTTGTGTGGTGTGTTGCCGTTTCTAGGTGGATTCTTCTAATTGGTTTACCTGTTTTTATTGGCTGTCTGGTAGAGTCTACTGTACATACACTGAGTGTACAAAACACCTACTCTTTCCATGACATAGACTGACCAGGTGAAAGCTATGATCTCTTATTGAGGTCACTTGTTATATCCACTTCAATCATTGTAGATGAAGGGGAGGAGACAGGTTAAATAATAATTTATAAGCCTTGAGACAATTGAGACATGGATTGTGTATGTGCGCCATTCAAGACAAAATAATTAAGTGCCTTTGAACGGGGTATGGTAGTAGGTGCTAGGTTAAATCGGTTTGAGTGTGTCAAGAACTGCAACGCTGCTGGGTTTTTCCACGCTCAACAGTTTCCCGTGTGTATCAAGAATGGTCCACCACCCAAAGGACATCCAGCAAACTTGACACAACTGTGGGAAGCATTGGAGTCAACATGGGCCAGCATCCCTGTGGAACACTTTCGACACCTTGTAGAGTCCATGCCTCGATGAATTGAGGCTGTTCTGAGGGCAAAAGTGGCTGCAACTCAATATTAGGAAGGTGTTCCTAATGTTTTGTACACTCAGTGTAGATTGAGTAACCTACTGTGTGTGCGTGCTTGTGACTGTTATTAAACTGTGTGACATATAGCAGGTACAGAGCGAAAAATAGAAATAGATGAGGAGTTGATCCGACTATCACTTGCAAACAAACACACAGTAACAGAGAGAGGGAGAGAGAGAGAGGCTGACAGAGAGAAAGAGACAGTGGAAATGAAGGAGACAGAGTGAGGGTTATAGAGAGAAAGGAAGGAAGCGAGAGAGACAGAGATTTTGTCTTGGCCAGGTCACGTGGTCTGGAAAAACTTCTGGCCCTAACCATAACCCCCTTTACAGCATATGGTTCTAATCCCCGAGCCGACTAGGTGAAAAATCTGTCGATGTGCCCTTGAGCAAGGCACTTAACCCTAATTGCTCCTGTAAGTCGCTCTGGATAAGAGTGTCTGCTAAATGACTAATAATAATAATAATAATAATAATACTAGTGCTAGCCTGTTTTTATTCTACTCACTCGTCTCGTGCCAGCAGACTTGTGCAGCCAATGTCAGAAAGAGGGCAAAGTTGAGAGGAGAAAAGCATGCATCTTCTTGGTGACTGATTGTGTATTCACGCTCCCGAGGCCATAAGCATTATTACTGGAACAGTAGGATGGAGGAGGGATGGGTATGGAGATGGAGATGGGGTGGTGGGGGGGGGGGGGGGGCTTAAAGCACTCTGCCAGATTGAACAGTAGTGGATGATCCTTTGGCACAGTGACATGAACATCAGTAATGGAGGAGGCATACAGTGGAGTTAGGGTATGTTCAGCCGCCTGCTGTGCTATTGTATCAACCCAATGGGATAGTATACACATAGTAAAAATAGTAGAAACTAGCCTACATATTATTACTCAGTACTGAAATAACAGAGCTATGTTTCTTCCCTCCTCACAGGAATCTATCAAAGAAGTATCAACCCAAGAAGAACTCAAGAGAGGAGGAGGAGAACAAGTGAGTTTGAGACTCAGATGCAACCATTGCAAATCATTGACATGTGCTTGATGTTGGTATAGGTATCTCCAGTCACCTGAAGTTTCTTTCAATGAATGACACTATCTGAGCATGTTGTCATGACACTATACTTCAATTGCTGTGTCAGCCCCTCTAGCTCTTCCTCTGACATCACTTTCTGTGACCTCTGACTTGTCAGGTACACGTCATGCCGGGCCTTCCTGTCGACACTGAACGAGCTGAACGACTACGCAGGTCAGCATGAAGTCATCGCTGAGAACCTGACCTCTCAGATCATCGCAGAACTCTCGCGGTACCTCACGGAACTCAAGGCCGAGAGGAAATCGGTGAGACCACACTTCCTGTTTATATTCTGATGCCCTCCATGTACTGTATATTATTTTATATTCTATTCTACTCTATTCTTTTATGCAGTATGTGATATCTATCTATCTTCTATTTATCTGTACCCATCCATTCATCCATCCATCCATCTCCCTGGTCTGTCTCTCAGTAGTATGTCTGTCTGTGGGTATTTCACTAATTTCTGTCTCTTTGTCTGTTTCAAATCAAATCAAATCAATCATTGTATTGGTCACATACACATATTTAGCAGATGTTATTGCGGGTGTAGTGAAATGCTTGTGTTCCAAGCTCCATCAGTGCAGTAGTATCTAACAATTCACAACAATACACACAAATCTAAAGTAATATAATGGAATTAAGAAATATATAAATATTAGGACGAGCAATGTCGTTGTGGCATTGACTAAAATACAGTAGAATAGAATACAATATATACATATGAAATGAGTAAAGCAGTATGTAAACATTATTAAAGTGACTAGTGTCCCATTATTAAAGTGACCAGTGATTCCATATCTTTGTATACAGTAATCCCTCGTTTATCGCGGGGGTTACGTTCCGAAAATGACCCGCGATAAGTGAAATCCGCGAAATAGAAAACTTTTTTTTTTTTACAATTAGCAACTATTACATGTATACAAATACAGTGACTCACGTGTAGGCCGTTTCGTCGACATTATGGGTTTAGAAGATGTTCGAAATTACAAGATAATTTGGCCAACTTAATGTAAATTTGCCAAGCTGTTTTATGTACGTACACATAACTGCACGAGACGACAAAATGATAGCACAATTCGTAGCATGTTTTGATACAAGAAGCGGGAGTGAGTTTTTAGCGAATCAGAATGCAGAGCACAATGCACCAAAAAAAAAAAAAAAAATGCATTATGAAAATCCGCGAAATAGCGAATCCGCGATAAGTGAACCGCGAAGTGGCGAGGGATCACTGTATAGGGCAGCAGCCTCTAAGGTGCAGGGTTGAGTAACCGGGTGGTAGCCGGCTAGTGATGGCTATTTAACAGTCTGATGGCCTTGAGATAGAAGCTGTTTTTCAGTCTCTCGGTCCCAGCTTTGATGCACCTGTACTGACCTCGCCTTCTGGATGGTAGCGGGGTGAATAGGCCGTGGCTCAGGTGGTTGATGTCCTTGATGATCTTTTTGGCCTTCCTGTGACATCGGGTGCTGTAGGTGAGGAACTTGAAGCTTTTCACATTCTCCACTGCGGTCCCGTCAATGTGGATGGGGGCGTGCTCCCTCTGCTGTTTCCTGAAGTCCACGATCAGCTCCTTCGTTTTGTTGACTTTAAGGGAGAGGTTATTTTCCTGGCACCACTCTGCCAGTGCCCTCACCTCCTCCCTGTAGGCTGTCTCGTCATTGTTGGTAATCAGGCATACTACTGTTGTGTCGTCTGCGAACTTGATGATTGAGTTGGAGGCGTGCTTGGCCACGCAGTCATGGGTGAACAGGGAGTACAGGGCCCCTGTGTTGAGGATCAGCGAAGTGGAGGTGTTGTTTCCTACCTTCACGACCTGGGGGTGGCCCGTCAGGAAGTCCAGGACCCAGTTGCACAGGGTGGGGTTCAGACCCAGGGCCCAAGCTTAATGATGAGCTTGGAGGGTACTATGGTGTTGAAGGCTGAGCTATAGTCAATGAACAGCATTCTTACATAGGTATTCCTCTTGTCCAGATGGGATAGGGCAGTGTGCAGTGCGATGGTGATTACATAATCTGTGGATCTATTGGGGCGGTATGCAAATTAAGTGGGTCTAGGGTGTCAGGTAAGGTAGAGGTGATATGATCCTTAACTAGCCTCTCAAAGCACTTCATGATGACAGAAGTGAGTGCTACGGGGTGATAGTCATTTAGGTCAGTTACCTTTGCTTTCTTGGGTACAGGAACAATGGTGGACATCTTGAAGTAAGTGGGGACACCAGACTGGGATAGGGAGAGATTGAATATGTCCGTAAACACTCCAGCCAGCTGGTCTGCGCATGCTCTAAGGACACGGCTAGGGATGCGAAGGTAAACACGCTTAAATGTCTTACTCATGTCGGCCACGGAGAACGAGAGCCCACAGTCCTTGGGAGCGGGCCGCGTCGGTGGCACTGTGTTATCCTCAAAGCGGACGAAGAAGGTGTTTAGCTTGTCCGGGAGCAAGACGTCGGTGTCCGCGACATGGCTGGTTTTCCCTTTGTAATCCGTGATTGTCTGTAGACCCTGTCACATACGTCTCGTGTCTGAGTCGTTGAATTGTGACTCCACTTTGTCTCTGTACTTACGTTTTGCCTGTTTGATTGCCTTACGGAGGGAATAACTACCGTTTGTATTCGACCATATTCCCAGTCACCTTGCCATGGTTAAATGCGGTGGTTCGCGCTTTCAGTTTTGCGCGAATGCTGCAATCTATCCGCGGTTTCTGGTTTGGGTAGGTTTTAATAGTCACAGTGGGAACAACATCCCCTATACACTTCCTCATGAACTCAGTCACCGTGTCCATGTATGTCAATGTTATTCTCAGAGGCTACCCGGAACATATCCCAGTCTGTGTTATCAAAACAAGCTTGAAGCATGGATTCCGATTGGTCAGACCAGCGTTGAATAGACCTTAGCACGGGTACTTCCCTGTTTGAGTTTCTGCCTATAGGAAGGGAGGAGCAAAATGGAGTCGTGATCTGATTTGTAGAAGGGAGGGCGGGGGAGGGCCTTGTAGGCATCCCGGGAAGGGGGAGTAACAGTGGTTGAGCGTTTTAGCAGCGTTAGTACTACATTCAATGTGTTGATAGAATTTCGGTAGCATTTTCCTCAAATTTGCTCTGTTAAAATCCCCAGCTATAATATATGCGGCCTCAGGATATGTGATTTCCAGTTTGCACAAAGTCCAGTGTAGTTCCTGGAGGGCCGTCGTGGTATTGGCTTGAGGGGGAATATACATGGCTGTGACTATAACCGATGAGAATTATCTTGGGAGGTAATACGGTCAGCATTTGATTGTGAGGTATTCTAGGTTGGGTGAACAAAAGTACTTGAGTTTCTGTACGTTTTCACAATCACACCATGAGTAGTTAATCATGAAACTTACACCACCGCCTTTCTTCTTCCCGGAGAGTCCTTTATTCCTGTCTGCGCAATGTACTGAGAACACAGCTGGCTGTATGGACGGGGATAGTATATCTGGAGAATGCCATGATTCCGTGAAACAGAGTATGTTACAGTCCCTGATGTTTCTCTGGAAGGAGATCCTAGCCCTGAGCTCGTCTACTTTATTGTCCAGAGACTGAACATTAGTGAGTAATATACTCAGAAGCGGTGGATGGTGTGCACGCCTCCTGAGTCGGACTAGAAGTCCACTCCGAATACCTCTTCTCCGCCGGAGGCACCTTGAAACAGCCTCTGGGATAAGTTCAATTGCCCTGGGGGATACGAACAAAATATCAAATTCGGGAAATTCGTATTCCTGGTCGTAATGCTGGTGAGTTACCGCCGCTCTGATATCCAAAAGTTATTTCCGACTGCATGTAATAACACAAAAAAAAGTTCTGGGCTTATAATGTAAGAAATAACACACAAAAAAACAAAATACTGCAAATTTGCTTAGGAGCTAGAAGCAGAGCTTCCATGTCTGTCGGCGCCATCTTATCTGTTTGTCTATTGGTCTATGTTTGCGGTCAGTCTTGCTCTTCTACACCACTTACCCTTAAACATACAGCTTTATCCAGAAACCAGACACACTTGCCCACAGGAAAGAGAGAGAGCGAGGCCTATCCCGTCCATTTGCCCTATCCTGTACACTGTACACTGAGGTCATAGTTGTATAAAGATACTGTAGATACACAGCCAGCCGCCCAAAGACTGGCCACTGGGCCAACACATGACTCTATGGTTGTGTCCCAAATGGCACCCTATTCCCTATATGGTGCACTACTTTTGACCAGGACCCAAAGAGAATAGGGTACCATTAGGGTTGCAGCCTATGACTCCTTTATATGGAACAAACCTTAGACTTCTCTCATTTAGAGGTTATTTGTATCTTATAAACCCCCTTTAAACACATATTTCCTTACCATTGTAAACTAACTTGATAGAGCAGTAGAGGTACAGTATGCAGCATTAACACAGTAGTAGTATCTTAGTTAGAAGTCAAGGAAAACGAAATAAAGGCCACCTTTTAGACGTTAGCTTTGGTCAGAGGCAAGGGGAAACTACTCAACTGGAAAAAGAGCAGTTTGTCAGAAAAACTGTCACGGAGCCTCATGTCACGGAAGCTCCACTAGGGGAATCCATTGGAGTTGAAAACTGTAACGCGCTGCAGGTCATCAGTGGCTGACATGACCTTTCCCACTGTAGAAGCGAAACTGTATGCCCTCCCTCTTGAGCTTCCCTTAAAAGACCACAGCAGGAAGATAGGGAACACTGAATAACTATTGATTCTGCCATTTTGTTCCTAAAGCTCAGTTAGAACAACATAGAGATTGTGAACACAGAGAGGGGGATTTCTAGGGAGCTCTTCTAACTGTCTGTGAGTTTGTTTGAAGAAGAATCCTCGGGCCCTCAGGGTTTGCCCTGGTCTGTAGGCTTTGGGTCTGGTTTGATCTAGCCTGGCTCGGCCTGGGTCTGGCCTCAGGTCTCGTTCTCTGTCTGTCTATTGTCTTGTCTTGTGTTTGGCCCCGCTCCCAAAGGATTGGCCCTCATGCACTAGAAATGTTCCCCTCAGACTGCCTGCAGGATGCTATTGCGACCGACCTACACACACTCCTTTTTTCCTCCTCCTCTCCGGCTCTCTGCTCTTTTCCCAGGGCAGTTTGCTCCGTTTTTTATTCACCTCTCTTTTTTCCAGTCTTTCATTTCATTTCTTACACATACACACTCGTCACCTGGTAGTCCGTCATCCATCTTCCTGCTCAATTTAATAACATTTGGCTACAATCACAATTTTGCCTTGAGGACTGCCAGCTAGCCTCATATCTAGCTCTAAACCAACAAATACCCACATCCAGAGATAGTAGCCTCTCTG